CTCATCAGTTTAACAAGCAAGAGATGGCTAATGTGATATTTGTAATACCCCTCTCTCACGCATTTTTGGCCGTAAAACTAAACTGCTTTAACCTCTCTAACCCTATGAGCCATTTTGGCTTGAAGTGTAGAGTAATTTGCAGTCTCCAGTGTTTTCTGCCCTGATTATCTGCTCACACTGCTGCTTTCTAGAATGTCTGCATTGCAGGTACTGCAGCTCACATTTAAGTTTTCCTGGATATAATGGCTCTGTATCACCTCTGTCACTGTTCTCTTTGAGAGGTTAAGTGTGGAGTCACTGGGAGTTACTGGAGTTTTTCAGCCCTTTTTTGATAAATGGCATTCTACTTTATGCTTTCCAGATGTTATATAATTTTGACATCAGTCAATATTTTTTCAGTGTTTAAGTCTTATCTAACATGTTACACAAAATTCTCATCTTCCAAATCCAGCAGACTGTCACCATGAAACTGAGCTTTCCTCTCTTTTGAAAATATATCATATCTGGATTACCACCCTATCTGATCTTAATTATCTCATTATTTCTGAGATCCACTTGTGTTTCCATGCCAAGAAGTGAGATCTAGTAGTAATTTAAATTAAAGGAAACTAGTAATTAGTTCCTGGCACTCATACTCATTCTATACATACATGCAGGCCAATATTTTGTAGAAGTGAAACAACAGATTAAGATAGATAAAATGCTGTTATCTGCATAATGACTGGAACAGTTTAAAGTATCATTTGTATATCACTGAAAAAATATAGGATGGTTCAATATTGAACTACTGAAACTGGAATAATATCATTATTATTATGATATCATAATAATAATATGATATTATGATATCATAATCATAATTCATCATTATGAATTTTACATGAAAACATCATGCCAGAGCACAAAGTACTCTTCTGCTTTCTTCACAGAGGCTGCAGAGGGCAGCAATATTTGCTGATTTTTCAAACAGGTGTGAGAGCAAATGTGCTGCTTTAAAGAAGCAAAGGGATGATATAGGTTATGCATTGCAATAAATGTGCATGGGAATATACTGATATATGATCAGAATTTAAAGGCCCATTTTCAAATGTTTTCCCTACCCAGAAGCTCCCATTGTCATATTTCAGGCTAATTAAACAGTTCATTAGATAAGGTATTAGACTCTTCTGAAAACTTGGCTACTGTTTTCAAAAAAGTGTGGAGGTGGGCTTCTGAAAATATGGATCACATAATGAGATTCTTCTGCTCCTTTAATCTGAGTGTAATCCGAAACCAATAAAAGTCACTGATCTCAGTAATCTCTGAGTCAAAATGTTCCCTTTTAATTTCTAGCTGGGTTGACATTATTCTGAAACATATGACCATATGTATGTATTAAAAAAGCAGAAGTGAAGACAGAAAAAAGGCCAGTACACTGGCCCATTGGAAAGGTTATTAGAGGGATGTTGTTTCCAGAGAATTGGCCAAGAGCAATTTTGCTCTTTTGCTGAAAATAAGCTTTTTTTTGTTCTAGAGCATGGGTTCAATGAGACAACTGTGTTTCATGAAAACACATAGGACAATAAACATATGATTAAGAGAAACAGGCTCTACTCATACCCTTGTGATTGTTTTTTCTATTGTATTTCATTCATCATATACAGTTCTCATGCAAAACCAACAAAAAACAGTCACTTGTTTTTCTTGACTAATGCTGAATCCATAATAATGCACAGAAGAAATTAATGGATATATTTTAATGACATCACAAATTGAGTTGACCTAGTGCTACAAAAATACAATACTCAGCTCTATGAACAATTCTGAGCATTTCCAGCCACAGACACCATCCCAAACATCTACTACCTGTCACTCTGGGATGTTTCATGGTTTATAGGCTTTTAAGGTTGGAAAAGAAGCCTTCATCCTGACAGTCTGCCCAGACTCTAAAATTGCTGGAGCAAAAGGAATGATTTCTACAGAAAGTACCTCAAAGAAATGGAGTTGGAATGACAACATTTCTTGGGAATTTTTAAGTTTCAGACTTTCTGTTTTATGGTCCTAGGAAGTAGACATTTGGATAAAATTTTACATTTGGATTAATGCCATCATAACATGTTACTCATTAACCTTTCCTCTGCTTTTATTTAAACTTCTGTGTATAGATTATTTGAGTGTTGTCCTGAGAAAAAGAAAGGTTCTCCTAAGCTGAAACAATTTTTTCCTATAAAGCAAACATGCAAACATATATTTCTAGCAAAATTCTCAACTTGTTCATCAAGCAAAGAGCTCCCGACTAAGTACATGCCTCACCAAAGATATATTTCAGTTTTAAATTATTATATTTTTGGCTATTTCCAGGGGAAGTAGCCAAACTTACATAATTTTCAAATGCAAATGTATTTTGGAGACTTTTTATCTTATTGTTTGCTAATGGGAAACCAAATTATATAAAACATACAAATTGCTTCAGTGTACTGCTGACTGAGATATATGAGAAGCCATTCTATGCAGACTAAATTTAATCAGAAGTGTGTTACCAATCTACTCCTGTATCTATTACTCTAAGTGTTTCTAGAGTAGAGAATGTGATTTCTCATAGACGTCAGAGATTGCTGTTTAATTATTCATCCTGAAATTTAATTTCAAAGCTTGTAATCACTTAACTGTTTAAGATGGAATTTGTCACTGAAACAAGCCAAGAGGAATTAGAGCATAATTTAACAGTGGCTCATTTCAGTTTCAGCATGTTTAGTAACTGGCTCATTTAATGCAAAATCTGTACAGGCCCCTGGAACAAGCCACATATGATATTGTTTTTTTTGCTTCCCATAGAGCAGATAATTTTCCCCATTTATGAATGGAAATATTTTGTACCTGAGGTGCACCATTGCTATTTTTCCTATTTTATTATTTATATATCAGGATGTCTCCTGTTAGTGAGATAGATAGATAGATAGATAGATAGATAGATAGATAGATAGATAGATAGATAGATGACAGGTCTTTCTTCTCTGCCACTAGTTCCAGACTACCAGGGTAGCTTTGCAGTACTTTGGTCAGTGAAGTCTTGCAAATGCAAACGAAAAGGTTTGTGACTTGAAACACAGGTTTCAAGGCAAATGAAGTAAATTTCACAGGTAAATGAAGTAAATTTTTTTTTGTTATTTTTAATGCTTCCAGATACACTTCAAAAATCAATACTTAGTACATTGCAGAAAGTTGTCTCTGTATGGTCAGTTTTTTCCTCCAGCACAGTCGGAGAAGCAGGAGATAAAGCAGAATGAGCTGTCCCTAAATGTCAGTACGTGGGGTCAGCATAAACTAGTGGCAAATAGCTGTTCTTTAAAGCATCTGTCTTGTCTCCTAAGATGGCTTACTGTAGGCTGGAGCTCTTTTTACAGAGATTTGCTAGGAAGCATGAGAGGCCATGATAAGACAGATATTGTGATAGATGCCACTATGAAATGCATTCAAACTTTGCTTCCAACAAAGCTTGCATAAGCAGGTGGCTTCTCCATCCTGCTTCTGAGGCTGACTGCAGCAGGCATAGCTGCTCTGCTCATTGCCATTACTGTTGTTGCCCACTGAGTTGGTGCAGTGCACCCCATGGCAAGGCAGCATGGGCCCAAAGCAGGCTTTGCTTTCTCTGTGGGGTGCAGAGCATTCACCCTGCAGAAGGCACCGACCCCACGGCGGGTACCCCACAGTGGGGCTTTCCACGCACGCCCAGCCTGTGAGCAGCTGAGGATGCTGAACTGCCTTGGACCCATGCCACGGTGTTGGGCACCCTCAGGGATCCCACCCTTCTTCTGCAGCTCCCTGGCAAGTTCTTGTGAGGCAGTCATTCCCCACACGTCTGTCGTGTCCCCATGGCTGCATGGCCCTGCAAACCCCTCACAGCTTTGGTACGAGAGGCTCTTGCACAGGGTTGTGAGAGGCAAAATCTGAAAACCCCAAAAGACGATTGTCAAAGAGGTGAATTGTGTATTCTTCCTCTGTCTTTGCTTCAGTGCCTCTTTGTGAGCATTTCTTAAGCATACACCTGTAAGGATGCAATGAATAGTCATCAGTTGTTCACAGACCCTTTCTCAGAACATCTCAGAATTCCCCAGGATGCTGGAGCAGCACAACATTGCTGCAGCCTCTCTGTGCACCATAATTAAGCCAATTTAACAAATTAAAAGTAACTCAAACTTATCCAAAACTTTGTTCAAAGTTATCAGAAATTATCACTGTAGAAAGTTGGAAATACACCATAAATTACAAAGCATCTGTGTGCTGTAAAGTGATCTGTGTGAAGGGATCTCCTCCAAAACTGAAATATCAGGAAGTTTATATATGTCTTGACTTTTGAATAATCACATTTCTCGTAAATCTAGAGTGATCTTAAATGAGGAAATTAATTAAAAGTTAACATTTAGATCTTACCTCGTCCTTTGTATAATTCCTACCAGGTATGAATTTCCTAGCAATTCAAAGTTATAATTCAATTAAAATTGAATACAAAAGCAAGCCTTGTTGGGCCTGCTTAGTCTTGAGAAGACTGAGAGGAGATATCATTAATGCACATAAATACCTCAAAGGTGGGTGCCAACGGGACAGTGTCAGACTCATCTTATAAAATAAAATATATAAATATATTTATAAATAAATCAATATCCTAACTTATTAATTATAAGACATAAGCCCAAAGACAGGACACAGCAATGTCTGTAAAGTAAAACACAAGAAGTTTCACTTCTACATGAAGGAGAAATTTACCCTGAGGATGGCAGAGCACTGGAACTGGCTGCCCAGGGTGTTGGTAGAGCCCCCCTCTCTGAAGACATTCCAAACCCACCTGGACACATTCCTGCATCACCTGCTCAAGGTGACCACCTTGGATGACTGATGGGTCCCTTCCAACCCTGACTATTCTATGATTTTGTGCTATATTATGATTCCTTTTGTGAACTCATTTGTGATATGTGAAAATATTTAATTACGAGATAAAGAGGTCCTTACCTTCCAGGGTTTTCTTTCTCTTGTGGCTAATTTCTTCATTTTTCTGTCCCAAATAAAAATTGTAATAAGACATCTTTAATTAAATACTTGAAGAACATCCTCCAGATCTCAAAACTAAGGAGTTAAATGTAGTCTTTAATGCAGATATTATGACAATATGATTGAACCCTTCAATTTTTTTTACATAACTGGAAAGCCAGAGCTTGAATTAGGTATGTACAACAGTGGAGAATTTCCTACACTGACTGTGGAAAGTAAAACAAAATGAGAAAACATAAAATATTAAATCTTTTTAGATCAATTTTTATGTATCTGTTTTGTGAAAGAAAGGATGGATCTTTCCATTTAGATAGTGAACATATTTGTTAAAGTAATCACATCCTGTAACATAAATACTGTTTTCACTTTCAGGAGAAATAGACAGGACTAACTATTTTCATAGTATATGCTGAAGCTAATTTTTGCACAAACACTAAGTAATTTTGCTCTGACACAAATACTTAAGAAAAGAATAAAATGCACCTTAAAATATTTGCCATTTTTGTTCACCTCATTTTAATGGTTGATATTTGTTACTTTATTTCTAAGTTTCCTTGGCAAGCCATTAGGGTTTAACAGAAAACTCATCAGGAATAAACACCAAGCAGAAAGAGAAAAACAACATTGTATTATTAGCTGTCCAGTTGATTTGTAAACACCATTCTGTAACTCCTTTGCTATTCTTATAGACAAGGTCATGAATATTCTGTATTTCCCATGTCAATATAAAGTTCACTGAGTCATAGATCAATTAGACCAAATGGATTCCTGTAGGGAGAAACCAGTGTATCCCAATTTAGAAGCTTATTTGAGGGAATTTGAGATAACAACCTGTCATCTCCTACTTTGAAATACAATAGTTGGTATAGAAAGCAAAACAAATTAAAGATAAGCTGCAAAATTTTGACTGGTTCAGGAGATTGTTCAATTGCATTTGTGTAATTACTTTCTTCTGGATGCACACATATATTTCTTACAGAATTATCCTATTTGATTCAGTCCAAATTTATATCACATTGGTTAATCAATTATTTTCAGATATATTTCATGATAGAAACAGGTGGAAAGTCCTCACTGGAGACAGAAATCCTTGCTCTGTTTTGGAAACAGTTTGCTTTTATATTTTTGCAGTATCTAAAATAGCTGAAAGAATATCACATATAGTTAGTTACTAAAACAACATGAAAATCAGAAGGTTTTGCACTGTTTTGGAAACAGTCTGCTTTTATATTTTTGATGGTTAGAATCACAGAATAACAGAAGCATGTCTTTGGTTGGAAGGGACCCTAAAGGCCATCTATTTCCACCCCCCTTGCCCTGGGCAGAGATGCTACCCACTAGACCTTAGAGCTCCATCCAGCCTGGCCTTGGGCACTTTCAGGGATGAGGCATACACAACTTCTCTGTTCCACCAATGTGTTTCAGTTCCTCACCACCCTCACAATAAAAATTTGTCCTAATATCTAATCTAAAGCAACTCTCTTTCAGTTTGAAGCCATTCCCATTTGTCGTCTCATTACAGGCCCTTGTAAAACATCTCTCTTCATCTTCCTGGTGAGTTCCCCTCAGATCCTGGAAGTTGTCAACAAGAACACCCCAAAACCTTCTTTTCCAGGATGAAAAACTCCAGTTCTCTCACCCTTTCCTCATAGGAGAGGTGTTTAATCCCTCTAATCAACTTGTTGTCCCTCCTCTGGACTCACTCCCAACACACCAATGTGCTTCCTGTGTTGGGGACCCCTGACCTGGCTGAAGCATTGTAGGTGGGGTCTCCAGCTGGGAGAATGGAGTAGAGGACTAGAATACCCTCCCTTGCCTGATCCCAAAGTTGCTTTTGATGCAGCCAAGGACATATTTGGCTTTCTGAGTTGCAAGCACACATTACTGGTCATGTCCAACCTCTCATCCACCAGCACTCCCAGTCCCACTCAGCAGGGCTGCTCTCAATCTGTTAATCCCCAATCCTGGATTGACACCAGTTGTTGCCCTAACCCATGTACAGCACCATCATTTATTAAACCTCATGAGATTCCCATGGGCTGCTTCTCAAATCCCTCTGGATGGATCCCATCCTTCAGGTTTGTCACCCACAGGTGTGGAAGCTTGTTGTCTTCTGCAAATTTTCTGAGGGTGCACTCCATCCTTTTGTCTGTGCCATTAATAAAGATATTAAATAGCACTGTCTCAATACTGACTGCTGAGGGACACCAGCTGTCACTGATATCCATTGGGACTCCAAGCTGTTGACCACTGCCCTCTGGATGTGGCTGTCCAACCAGTTCCTCATCCATCTAACAGTATCTAACACCCATCAAATCCCTCTTTCTCCTATTTAAAGGGCAGGATGTTGAGGGGGATTATAACAAAGGCTTTACAGAAGTACAGATAAATGACATCTGTAGCCCTGCTCTTGTCCACTGATGCAGTCACTCCATCATAGGAGGTGGCTGGGCTGGCCAGGCAAGGCTTGCCCTCGGTGAAGCTGTGCTGGCTCTCTCAAATCACCTCCCTGTCCTCTGTGCACCTTAGCAGAGCTGCTAGGAGGATCTTTTCCATGATTTTCCCAGGCACAGAGGTGAGGCTGACAGGTCAGCAGTTCCCAGGGTCCTCCTTTCTACCCTTTTTAAGATGGGTTAATGGTTCCCTTTTCCCAGTCACCTGAGATAATTGGTGATTAAAATTTCACTGTTTTCACCTAAACAAAGGAAATTAGAAACAGTTTCCCAAGAGTGGACATCATACTAGGAGCAAGAAATTGAATGACTACGCTGTCAAGTGAGCTTTTAAACAGTTCTGGTTTGCCTTGAGTTGGTTTATTAGGATGTTATACACAGAATTAAAAGTTGCCATTAAATTTTGTGTTAATTTACCTACTTGGTAGTTGTTTGGACAAAGGAACTAGTCCTGAAGAAAGTAAAATAAAGTGTAAAACTCCTGCATTTACTTAATCCCAAAAACAATGTTAATTAAGCAGTGCTATTTATCTTTTATAATATAGAAACAAGGAAATATACAAAGGCTACATATTTATTAGGCTGCATGTAAATAGTGCACATATCAACATATTCATATTCAGCTTGTGAAACTCACTGCTGTAGAACAAATGGAAACAGATTCTGTTAAAATTTTAAAAGAAATAAATCAATATTCTAACTTATTAATTATAAGACATAAGTTCTCAGCTACATTCAGCTATCACAGTGACTGTAACATTATGCCCATTCTCCAAATTCACTTACAAAGAGAATATCCTTAAATCCATGAAAAAATTACTTTCTAGTACAAAGTCCCTGCACACATCATTCTAGAGGTTTATCTCTGAAATAGCTGACAATGTCTGTTGTCAACTTAAATAAATGTTTAGATCACTTGATATACCAAATTCTTCACTGGCAAAGTAGCTATCTGTCAGAACAGTTATACTTCTTCATTTGTTCTTCCATGTTACACATAATGAGAGTAAATTACAGAGACAAATATAAACTTTTTAATGATGCAGCCTAGCATACAAGCCATATAGATTGCAATACTCAGCCATCTAGAGCAGATGATGTCTATAGAGTTCTTTGAGTACAGGCACACAGTGGAACTTGAATTCATGCTTGGTTAGGGTTGAACTTACTGGGCACAAATCTGTGCTCAGGTCAGGAGCCTGGAGAAGCAGGAGCTGCCTTTGCTGCCTAGCCTGATCTTAGCCTTAGATGCCCTTTATGCTGTAAGATAATATCATGCAAGTAACTTCAGGCAACAAGTAAGCCCAGAGCTTCTTTTCACTAAACTTATTATCTTGTGCAGGAAGGAATGGCTGCTGTGACAGAAATAAAGCAAAGGAAATGTATGGGGTATGCATAGACTACACTGATCAATGAACAAATGTTGGGACCACGCATGAAGAATATACAGAAATAAACTGAACCAGTGCAATCTGCAAGTGCTTTTAACAAACTCTTCATGACCCTAAATGCCAGTAATAAAAAAAAAAAAATCTAGAAAAATTATATAGAATGAATGATCATTAGACAATTAAATTAAAAAAAAGAAAACTTTCAATTTATCTTTGCTGGGTTTTTTCCCCAAATTCCAGTGCAGAATATTTTCATGCTGTAGGTTGTGTTTTCACTACCTAGAATCCTAGAATGTGTTGGAAGGAACTTTTAAAGTCATTTAATCCAAAGCCCTTGCAATGAGCAGGGACATCTTCAACTAGATTCAGGTTGGTCAGAGACCCAACTCATCTGATTGGAATATTCTCATATTTTACCACATCTCTGGGCAACCTATGCCAGTGCTTTACCACCTTCATTTTGAAAAAAAACCTCCACACTTCTTCCTTACAGATAATCTAAATCAACGCTCCTTCAGTTTAAACCATTATGCCTTGCCCTGACACAGCAGGTCCTGCTAAGTCTGTATCCCCATCTTTCTTAGGCTCCCTTTAAGACTGAAAGGCCACAATAAGGTTCTTCCACGCTTCCCTTGTTCAAGATGAACAACTCAAATTCTCTCAGCCCTTCCTCATAGGCAAGGTATTCCAGCCCTCTGATAATCTTCATGGCTCTCTTTTGGACCCACTCAAACAGGTCTGTCCTGTTTTGGAGTTCCCAGACCTGGTTGTAGCAGTCTGAGTGGGCTCTCACCAGAGCAGAGCAGAGGGGAAGAATCCCCTCCCTCACCCTGCTGCCCACACTGCTCTGGATGCAGCCCAGGACATGTTTGGCTCTCTGGGCTGTGAGTGACCATTGCTGCCTGGGCCATGTCCAGCCTCTCACCCACCAGCACCCCCAAATCCTTCTCAGCAGGGCTGCTCTCAATCTGTTTATCCATCAGTCTCTAACAATACCAGAGGCTGCCCCAACCCAGGTGCAGCACCTTGCACTTGGCTTTGTTGGACCTGAGGAGATTACCATGGGCCAAATTCCTGAGCTTGTCCAGGTTCCTCTGGATGGCATCCTGACCACCAGGCATACTGCTGTATGCCAGTATCAGTTGATATATATCAGCTTA